TGCTTTTGTACTTATGAAAATGAAAGAGACGGCAGAAGCATATTTAAGTACTGGAGTGAAAAATGCTGTAATTACTGTTCCTGCATATTTTAATGACTCACAAAGACAAGCAACAAAAGATGCTGGACAGATTGCTGGTCTCAATGTTCTTAGAGTAATCAATGAACCAACAGCAGCTGCTCTTGCATATGGCATGGATAAAACAGAAGATAAAATGTAAGAATTATTACTTACATAATCACATTACAAATTTAATTATATCGTCTATTAACACTTTAATGGCCTCTTACACAACATGTGTGTGTGATTATTTTAATAATTATGTAGGTGATTGCTTTAATAATTATCATACAAAAGAAAAATATTAAATTTGTTGTATTAATTATCAAATTATTTCATGAATTGACAAATATTGCCAGTCCCTGGTGACATTTAACTGCGTAGACGTGCGGCTTTTAAAGTGTTAATAAAAATATATGCAATATGTATAATTTAGAATGATGCTATTATTTTTCGTCTCTTAGCATTTCTTTTTTTAAACATGCTGAAAATATTTACTGACTAATTCGGTACCTTTGACGTATTTTAACATATAAAAAAGAAAATATTAAAAGTAATATGTTCTTCTTTCAGCATCGCAGTATATGATCTAGGGGGTGGTACATTTGATATCTCAATCTTAGAAATCCAAAAAGGAGTCTTTGAAGTAAAATCCACGAATGGGGATACTTTCTTGGGAGGAGAAGACTTTGATAATACTTTAGTTAATTATTTAGTATCAGAATTCAAGAAAGATGTATGTATTTTCAAATAAAACAATAATATTAATAGTATAATAACAATAAAATTCAATATTTTGTTATTATTATAGCAAGGTATAGATATAGCTAAAGATGCTATGGCCATGCAACGGTTGAAAGAAGCAGCTGAAAAGGCGAAAATTGAATTGTCTAGTTCTCTACAAACAGATATAAATTTACCTTATCTGACTATGGATGCTAGTGGACCAAAGCACTTGAACCTTAAACTTTCCAGAAGTAAATTTGAGAGTCTTGTTGGTGATTTAATTAAACGTACTATTCAACCATGTCAGAAAGCACTTTCTGATGCTGAAGTATCAAAATCTGATATTGGAGAAGTATTGTTGGTTGGCGGTATGACAAGAGTACCTAAGGTTCAACAAACAGTGCAGGAAATTTTTGGTCGACAACCATCAAAAGCTGTAAATCCTGATGAAGCTGTAGCTGTTGGCGCTGCAGTTCAGGGAGGAGTACTTGCTGGAGATGTAACCGATGTTCTTCTTCTAGATGTTACTCCACTCTCGCTTGGTAATTATGTGTTTACATATCGGTAATAATTCGATAAAAATACCTGTTCTACTGTGATGCTTATGTAACTAATCTTCTCTCTGATAATAATGAAGAAAATAGTATACTGAGTTATACTTATCATCACAAACTTTTATGTATGAAAATGTCATTATAACATTGTTGTACATTCATATTTCTATTTTCCAGGTATTGAAACGTTAGGTGGTGTGTTTACAAGATTAATTACACGAAATACGACTATTCCTACGAAGAAAAGTCAAGTATTCTCCACAGCAGCTGATGGTCAAACTCAAGTAGAAATCAAAGTTCATCAAGGTGAACGAGAAATGGCTCACGATAATAAACTTTTGGGACAATTTACTCTCGTTGGAATTCCACCTGCACCAAGAGGAGTGCCACAAATAGAAGTCACATTTGATATTGATGCCAATGGTATTGTTCATGTATCCGCTAGAGATAAAGGCACTGGAAAAGAACAGCAAAGTTTGTAACATTTTATAATACATATATACGTATATATCATAATATAAAAGAATCATGGTTAAACTGTCTATTTTTAAAATTTATAGTTGTTATTCAATCGAGTGGTGGCCTCAGTAAAGACGAAATTGAAAACATGGTTAAGAATGCTGAACAGTATGCTAAACAAGACAAGATGAAGAAAGAAAGAGTTGAGGCTGTAAACCAAGCGGAAGGAATTATTCATGATACGGAAAGTAAATTAGAAGAATTCAAAGCACAATTACCACAAGAAGGAGTAAGAATATAATTTTCTAGACACGTAAATTATATATAATTAATATATTGTGGTATATTAACAATGTCAATCTTTGTGTATAGTGTGACCAATTAAGGGAACTGCTTGCTAAAATGCGAGAAACATTAGCGAAGAAAGATGATCTAGAACCAGAAGAAATTAAAAAGCAGTCGAATGAATTACAACAAGCAAGCCTTAAACTGTTTGAAATGGCGTACAAAAAGGTACATTATTTAAGTTTTAAATTTCTAAATAATGTTTTGAAATTTCGTTAAAAACATTTAATTTATTTAATTATAGATGGCTGCAGAACGAGACAGTCAAAGTCAACAGGAACCTGGAGCAGAAAAGAAGGAAGAAAAGAATTAATAACATTTAAGACAACATATTCAGGAAAAACAAATTAATTGCACAGATGTAGGAGCACCAATAACACTTTACACGTTCAAAAGAAATTCATCGTTATGTAACAGGTAACAAAATTTAAGCAAATAAT